TAGGATGGGAAGGTGTGGAGGTCTAGGGTCTTTGGAGGTGGGGCAAGGCTGGGAAGGGTCCGGGCCGCGAGAGGTGCTGAGATGCTGAAGAAGGTTTTTGGGAGGATGGGGAGCACTCGGGGGGATGCTGGGGGACGGGGCGGGGTGATGAAGCCTCCTTGAGCCGTTAAGAGGAAGAGACACTCCTGAAGTTCCCGTTTGGGTCAGCAGCGTTGCTGTCAAGCAAGGAAGAAACCCGAAGGCTTTGGGAGCCAGACCGGCTGCGTGGTTGTTTGTAGGGAGTTCCTGTGTCTAGGAGCATTGTTTAGTCCTGGCTGTGAACTTGGCTGGATTGTAGACTGGCTTTTTTTCTTTTTTCCTCTGTTACAAGGCTGGGGAAGCGCTGCTTTGGGGCTATACAATCATCCCACTGGGGTAGGGAAGTAACGGGGTGTTAGAGCTGGCCAAATCCCAGTGCTGGGTATCTTGTGCGGCTTCCCCGCGTCTACCTCGTAGTCTGTGGGAGAAATCACGGTCGCGTTGCCTCTGCGCTTCACAACCGCCTCCCCTTTGGTGGGGTGACTTGGTGCCTCGGTGATGGGCGAGCTCATTTTTAATAGCCCGTGATCCCTCTTTGTGAAAGGTATTGTGCAGTTCTCTATTTCATTGTGGGTTTTAGTCTGTGAAATCAAATAAAAACTTTTTCTCGCTACTTTTTCCTGATAAGTGGATGTGCTCAGTGTTCAAGCAGTAAAGCGGGCTCTTTTAAACTGCTGTATGTGACAGGCATAGGGTGAGGGCTTTTATTTCTCTATAAAAGTAAATCTAAGCAGTAGGTTTGCAACTTGTAATGACAGTCCTGCGGGGTCTCTGACTCAGATGGTGTTTTCAGGAGGGCAGGGCGAGGAAGAGTCTGGATTAGAGCTCTGGGTGCAGCGAAACTGAGCCCAATTTTACCACACAACCGATCTCTGTGCCTCTCATATCAAAATATACAAGGGGATGCTGGAGCCCTGGGCCCTAAAATGCCTAGTTTAAACTTAAAGAGTGCTTGCAGGAAGTGCCAGAATGCCATACGTGCGCACGCGACCTGGATGTTGGAAAAAATGGCCTCTGTGTCCAAACTTATCCCTGTCCTTGGTATATAACATGTTCACAAAGAAGCTTGTCAGTTTTTGAACACGCTATAATCTTTAAAGGCACAAGGTGATGTCTTAAATATGAAATAATCAGTCATTTTGTTTGAAAACGCTAAGCAGAGGTGCTGTCCTTGTAGTCTTTATTGCACGGTAACTACATGAAGTTCGCGTTATACGCTCCTGTCCATAGCTGCCCTCACTAATTTACTCTGTGGTGAGGTTTTAGTGCCTTCTTTCCCCCACTCTTTTACGAGCGGCTGGCAAACATCCACAGCGTGTCCTAGGGTGAAAGTGTGCCTTTATTGTCGGGGAAGGCATAATTTGCAGTTGTGGGAGGCCAGTTTGTTAGGGTCTTTTATTTTCCATGCAGGGAGGTTAGAGCAGTGCGATCTAGTGTGGTAATTCCCCAAAGGGAGGTCCCTGGGCGCTGTTTCGGATGGCGTGCGGGTCTCTTCCTTGAGCCATAAATTTCAGATGGCGGGAGGGCATCCTGTGCTGGAGAAGGAACCTGAGCTGCAGGTTCTAGGTGGGATGGAGAGGATGGGGAAAAGGTAATCGGGTATCGTGAGGGTCCTTCATGGAAATCCTGAGGGGTGCTGAGGGTGTGTGCGAGGGTTTGAACTTGAACAGCAACTTCTCCTTTATTAGCTCCCCTTGTAGGGACGTGCTTAACCCTAGCAGACAGGAAGAGGTATCTGTTAAGTTCACACACTCTTAATCTGCACTGACGTCCATGCGCAGGCAAGCTCGTCTGCTGCTCTGTAGGACTCGTGGTGGGATGTGTTTAGCAGAGGGAACGTGAACAGGCTCTGGAAGCCAGGGTTTGCCCAGGGCATTTCACTGACAGCTCGAGGTGGTGGTGGTGGTGGTGATGATTTTTCAAAGCTTCGTGTAGTTTTGTGCTTGTATTTTCTAGATAGGGTCTTGAGCATCTCTTATTGAGTTCCCCAAAGCTTGATTTAACCTGATTTTACGGTAGGGATAGTTGCCCCAGTAAAATACCTTCGTGCAAAGAACACCCCATTTCACCGTTGCGCCACGGACGGGTGAACTCCAGCAGCAGAATTGTTTGGGTGTGGGATTTGCACCGTTTGCATCTACTTTGACTGAAAATAGGGCCATGTCCACAGGAGGAAGAACTAGAGCTGTGTGCTGCGAGGAAGTAGCAGTTTCTCCCGAATGTAAAGATTGGTGATGAAATATTAATGCTCCCAGCTGAGTCACCAGCCAGACCGGATTGGGTCTCCTCCTTCCTAAACTGATCAGGAGTTGTACAGCTACATGAGTAACTTAGTCTGGTTTCCCAAGAAAATGAGGCTTGTGCGATATTGCTGCTGCATGTGGCTGTCTGCACGTTTCCTGCTCTTGGCAACTTTTGAGTCTGTGCCTCTCACAGCCAAATCAGGCAGGAGGCAGAAATCTGAAAGTTAAATTTCTGTAAGTTTCATGAAAATAAGTACCCTGGGAGAGGTGGGGGGGGAAAACCAGTCAGCGGTGCCTACTGTGGGAGAGTGCAGCATGAGCTCAGCTTTTGCTAGGTAGGAGAAAATCCGCATGGGGAGATGACCCGTGGGATATATTTGCAGGAAGCTAACTTAATTAACGCTGGTGCCCATAGGACAGCTCGTCAGGTGCACCCGCGTGGGTGTGCGGTTGGTAGGGCCTGGGATTCTTCTGAAGGGTTCCAAGCAGTAGTAAAGGGTGAAAATGATTGAGAAGCTGTAAAACTACAGCTGCGCTGGTGTTTGCTTATTGACAGAATTAGCTGCTTTGTATCTTGTTTCTGTTAGGTAAACAGTAAGAAACTGAGGCAAAGAGGCTACGTGCTCCGTCTGATGAGTCATTGTCTGAGCCGGGATTAAACTTGCATGCCTCTTGGCGTGCGGGTTTCTGCTCAGAGTGCGGCTGCACTTCTCAGTGAAACCCGCGAGCTCTGTAAATGTGAGATATCATAGTGGACCTGAACCGCCTGGAGAGGACACTGGAGAGCTGCCACTTGCTGAGTGAGGGCAGGCAAATGTGGTGCCCAAAGCTCCTCCTGCCCAAGAAAGCTGGAGCTCCCTCCTCTTAACTTGTGCAGTGTGATGTTAGTTGCTCAGATTCTACCTGGATTGCCTTCCCCAGAACTGGCATTTAAAAAATTCCTTGTCTGGCCATACCCTAATTTCCAAATGTCTGTCTTATTTGAGTCTAGGGTAAACTTTTCTGAGTCCGTGGAGATACCTGTGCAAGCAAGACGGGAGATCCTATCCCCTGTGAACAGATGCACTGCTGAAGGACAGATAAAATGACAGATGACCTGATGGCTCTTGTGGCTCAGCTGTGATTCTGTTTGAAGGAATTTATAGTTTTCCCTGCTGTAACAAAATCCTTTCTGCTCCCAGGTGATGTTGGAAACTACTATTATGGCCAAGGACATCCTATGAAACCC